TTTAAAATATAAAAGAATCAAATAAAAATTTAAATGTAAGCTTTCTATGCCTTTAATTTCGTCTTCAACCTTAATACTGGCCCACAGTTTTCATATGTTAAAAACGAAGTTTCAAAGCATCACGCTAATCCGAAAAAATATTGCTCGATTTAATCTTATTTGGTTCCAGAGCTCAACTAAACACAACTAAATTAAATCAATTAAATTGACACAAATTTAGAAAGCTCAGATAATCGCCCGTTACCTGGGCCATCATAAATTTGAGGAGCTGCTCGTGGTTGCCCTCCATTCTTGTGCCGAGCTGCCGCATTTCTGGCGTAGAGCCAAGGATCTAGAAATGTCATTAAATTCCTAGAAATCCACGAAGTTTTTTTGCGGAAAATTGGTGGTTTTCGACGCTTTGCTATTCATTTAAAGGCCCACTGAAGCCAAGAGCATCCGGTTAGACCAGGTAATTTCCCCACCTTCCTCTGGACGCCATCCTTCGCCCGGACCGCGCTCACGAACGGCTTCAGCGGCTCGATTTCGACGGCGTTTGGCAGGTATGCTCTAAATTGTTTTGGCCTCTATTTTCATGGTGAATTTGAAAACAAAATTTGATGTTATAAAAAAGCTTGAAACAAGAAGATAAAAAGGAAAAGCAAAAAAAATAATCGCTAGGTTTTTTCCAAAAAAATGTGTTTCGACGAAATTTGGTAGCATGTTAAATTTTTTTAGGAGCAATAAGAGGTTTTTAGGTTTTTACATTAGCAGCAGATGAAAGCCGATTAATTTTTATTTATGGTTAAATTAATTTTAAATATTGGCTATTTGCAATAAATAGGATTTTATTCGGCATGCAACCATTAAATTACGCTTATAAAAATCTAATTCAAGCGGGTATCTTGTAAAACGCATCTTATTAACCATCGAACCCAATTAAACTCACTTATAAGCCGCATTCCGGTCCTCGATGATATTACGGTGCCACGTGGGGAACGCATCCTAAAAATGGCTCGATTATAGACTTTGAAAACGCCATTGAAAGTCAAAGTCTCAAAATTAAAAAGATTTGTCTGTAATGAATTTTTAAACGGTTTAGTTTTTAATAAAGCTCAAGCAATTTTTGCATTAAAATTATATGTTTTTAATAATATTATGATTACCTTAAGTGTCTAGGCCCTAATTAATAAGTACTGACTGCCTTTTTCAACCTTCGTCTGGGATTTTGAAAGATCACAAATTTGAAAAAGCAAACTATTTTTGGTAAAAATGGATGTTGCTAGTAAGATTGTAATAATAATATCATGTTGAAAATGCCAGTTAATTTTATGTGAAGAAATTTATCTCAAAAATGCATACCTGTGGTATTTCCTGAATGCTCGATGGGATAACAAGGGGTGCCAGTTTGCAACAGCTGACCTTGGGAGCTGGTAGGAGTTCTAGAGGGATAAAATTAATAATAACGGCTAATTCGGTGCTTATGTATTATCGGGGGCTGTTTTCTGGTAAACTCCAGAAATGCCTAGTAATATAATAGTGCATATTTTAATAGCGTTTTTCGTAAAATTTTACTTATTTCCAGGGGAAAACTATCTAAAAAGGTTTTAACCAATATGTCAATCCCAATTTCCGGCGAAAACTCGATATTTTTTTGTTTTTTTAATAGGGTTGACAAGCCGCTTCGCGACTTTTCAACCCTGGTCCCGTCCGACCCCATTTTATGCTTCACTTTGCATACTTGTCCTGAATTCAGATTGCAAAAAATGAAAAACCACTTCTTCTGCCGCTTTATATGTCGCGTCCCCACTTCCCGTCTATGCTAATTGTTTTTAACAAGAGGCTTTCACAAAACTTAAATTTAATGTCGAAAATCGATAATTTGTAGATTTGTTAGGTGTGCAGTCATCCCAAGACCATTGCGCACCTAATAACGCATCATACGTACTTTAAAATCCATCCTCTATCAAGATATCCTCCGGACAGACAGACGGAAGTGGATGCAAAGTGGCACACACACACACAAACACACAAACACTATTTTTTTATATATAGTAGGATTTGTAAAGATTTTGCGTTTAAGAATAGAAACAAAAATTAGAAACACTTCTTCTGTTTATCTTGGGAAAGCTGGCTACTAAATAAATAACCTCAATAAAATTTAATAAAGTTTAGAGGAAATCGGTATTATTTCTAAGGCAATAGGATAGATAACATGACACCATTCCAAGGACGGACTAAAATAGTTAACCATGCTAAAAAACTAAGGAAACTATGGAAACAAATAATTTCTATAAAAATCATGGCTAAAGATAAAGAAAACACTCACCGAATACGTAGAAGAAAGCGGAGAGGGCAAAATAGCGGCCGTGGCGGCGCGGGGCCGCTCGGGTGTTACGGAAACTGAAAAATAAATTTGGAAAATCAGTTCCAGTTTAAAAAATATACAATTTGCTGAAATTTTACCGTAGTAAATACTGGAAATACTGGAAATACAACGAACTGGAAAATGTATGTTTCGAAAGAAAAGTAATAAAAGGTTGTTAATAATTTGTGTAATGGCAGTACAACCTTAAAAATGCTATAAACATGATTTTTCTTTATAAAAATGGGCTTCCAAAGAACTTGAAATGTTATACAATCACAGTTTTGCACTATAAACAGGGCACTAAAAGCACAGGTACGCTCAAACCAATTTACTCCAAAATAGAAATCCTTGTTTCAGGTAAAGCGGGTACAGGCACCTAGGCGGAGTGATTAATGATATGTTCCTTGGCATTAACAAGCGCAACTTTTCATAAAAATCGAAAATTTAGATTAATTTTAGTTTTTCTCAACGCGCTACGTGCGTGCTGCGGGCGCGTTACATGTCGCGACCAAATCTTTATAGAATCTTTAGGCGGAAAAATCCGGAGGTATCTTTTTCCAGCTTTCAAAAAAATGTTTCTCTTAAAAATAATTAGTTTTTTGCCCGGCGCTAGACAATTTGCTCCAATGTCCTTTAGTGTTATTTCGAAAAATACGCTTCTCATAAACAGAAGCAAGAAAAGGAAATCGTATGTTTCATTAAAAATTAACAATATTGCGTTGAATACTCTGACAGTACGACACGATACGTACCCGTAACGGGATCTCGGAAGCTGACAGATGACAGGATCGGACGGTTTTTATCTAAAAAATTAACTTATGAATTATTGGTGTGCTTTCTCGATAGCGGTAATATCATACGAAAGCTTGTATTAAATAAGCTGGCTTACTTAATAATCTTTTGTAGATAATTAATCAGGAACATTTTTTCATATAACGCAAGCCTTTTCGAAACAACACATTTTTTAAAAATATGTTTCGACAAAAATACTCGATTGGCGATTTGACTCCTCACTTAGTCAATGACTTGCGTTCTGTTGGTCAAATTTGAAATGTGGAAATTATGCCGAATCGGCGCAAATTCCGTATCGATATTTTTATATTTTACTTCAATATATTTCCTATCATTAGGTTTATAACGCTTATTTCAGCTGTAATCATTTTTATAAGGCTTTTTATAGCCAAATATGTTTTTAAACCAACTTACCGTGATTATTGACGGAATGTACATTGGTGAGTGAGGTAGAGGAGGGTTTGTGAAGGGAATGAGTCGAGTGGATGTTTATCGAGCTGGAGGCACGGCGGGCTGGAAACATAATTTAATTTACCCTAATCAGTTTCCTAAAAGAGGTATATATCGAGGAATGAACAAACAATCGTAGAAAAATATGTTTCATGAAAATCTATGCGAGTATTAAAGCCATCAAATTATATTCCTTACAACATTGGCAATCGCAAATTTTGGGACTAAATTTTGCGATAAAATGTTTTGGTAATCGTTAAAGAAATATTATTCTCTGGGGCCTAAAATTCTGCTGCTCTCTTGATTTGGTTGTTACATATCTGATTTATTTATAAGAAAAATATCGTATTTTCGCATTTTAAACAACTTTAATAATTCCGAAAAACCGTTCATTTCGCCAAACAAAAAATGTTTCGGCTCATTAGAACTAGTAGCATGGAAAACCTACTAATAATCGCACGCGAATTTTTTTGATTAATACAGCTAAAAACCGGTTGTTACGTTTTTTTTAGCACAACCACGCCAGGGATAAGATTCTCCATTAATATAAGCCATTAATAAATATTATAATACAATTTTCTAGGTACTTACCATGCAGTAAATCGACTTGTGAGGCGTTGAGGTGAGAGCTTTTTGGCTGAAAAAGGTAAAAATTAGGGATATCAAGTGTGGAAAATTGTTTGTTTCGTAAAAAGCGCAGATTGATAAAAAAATAAGCAGTAATCAACAACTAAAAACTCCATACTTGTTCTGAATAAACCGGAATACGGTTTTTAAATGCATTAAATTTAGTTACAAGGCGCGTTATAAAATGGCGCTCAAAAATGTATGCCCATATAAAAGAAAATAATTAAAATTGAACAGATTTCCTTTGAAAAGAACCGCATATAAAATTTTCATGTTTCAAGTTAAATTCTGGTTTGGCAGAATAGTCATGTAATTAATGGATGATAATGGACTCGTTTGGACACTTCGGTTTCCCCAACGATCGCTGCTAGCCTGCCCCCGATACCTGCAAATCGGTGATATCATTCTCGACATCCCTTTCCTCAGGTGCTTTATGCGTTGCGTAATGTAGCTGCCATTCCAATACCATACACACGTACCGGGCCCACTCGGCGTCTTCCTTAAAAAAAGTACATACCGGGTTTATTCAACAAATCAATCCAGTGGTGATTATCGCGCAAAAGCTGTCCGCAGAAACGTGTTTCAAAAAAATTAAAGCTTTAAGCTTTGGAGAATTGGTGATTCATTCAACCCTCCGTTGGTATTACGATTTTTAGACAAAAAACCACTGAAATGACGAATGATCCAACTCGAATTTTAAAATTGTCTCAAAATCATCAACTAAATCTAATAAACTAAGTTTTCCAAAAAAGCACTTTAAATAAAGTGAAGGATCAAACAAAATTTGGAAGAAAAAACCGTGGTTGAGGAAGAAGCAACGATTCGCATTAGCTTAAAAATAACTACCAGTTACATTATGAAGTACAATGAAACATATTTTATAAAATCTGCAATACATCATTTTTACAGAATTTCAATGGAATTAAATTAAGAAAATAGAGAATCAAAAACATTTAGTCGCTAATGAACGGAAAGAAATTATTATAGCTGGAAACAAGGTGTTTCGAAATACATTTAAAACCCAAGGACACAAATTCGGGCTGCCGATTTTTAACGCAATTTGCAATAAATGTGTGTTTCATCAAAATTAAAAAGCGGTCAAAAAATTAGCTTTTAGTTCATCTCTCGCAATCGGTACAAATTTAAAATATAGAATAAAACCTACCAAGCTGTACTCCACGACCAGGTCGCGGGTTTTGATTTGTAGATGGCGTTTATGGGCGGCGAATCCCTTCACTTTTTCCCATTCGTATTTCACCGGGGCACCGTAGACTAAATTTGATTTTTGGAACTTTGTTTGATATACTAGCTTTATAGCGTTTTTTATAGCTTAAATTTATGCGCGTTTTTCGATTTTGATTTGTTCATCGAAAATCTGTGCTTCAAAAATCCTCAAATCTCGTAAGCGGCGTCCAAGGAACAGTCCTGCTTGCCGCCATTAGGAATGAATTTTACCAAGTAACTTTTTACCAAAATTAATGAAAACGATAAAAAAAATTATCCGTTTTTGGCTGCTAATTTTAATCCATTTTTCAGGGGTCCCAGCCCCTTTAAAGTAAAAATTCCTACCTTTAACCACGATCCCTTTTGGGGAGTAGCCTAGCTTCACTTCGGAACTATCTTCATCCTAAAAATCGTACTTTTTAGCAATTTCGAAGGGCATTAATGCAAGGCAATCTAGCGGAGATTGTTGAGGAAGAGGAGAGGGCAGGCTAGCAGAGATTGTTGAGGAAACGGAGGTCAGGGATAGAGAGCGAAGGAGAGAGAGAGAGAGAGAGAGAGAGAGAGAGAGAGAGAGAGAGAGTGAGAGAGTGAGCCATACCTTAGCTTTGAAGTATTCCTCTCCATATCCTTCGCAATGGATCACCCCGACAATGTACAAAATCGCGGCCTTGTCGCAGGACATCCCACGGAGCGTTTCGTACAGCTTTAAAGTTTAATTTTATGGCTTTTAAAGGTGTGGCTTGTATTTAATAAGCGGCTAATTCACAAGCTAGAGTTAATACTCAAGTTTATAACGTTACCTGCAGGACTTTCATCAGCAAGCTCTCGAGGATGGTGGCGCTGCGGCAGATTTGCTGAAAAATGAAGGATTTTGCCATCGAAAAACGTCATTGGCGAAACACATATTGTTCAGAAATTGTAAACTTTTGCAAAATAGGCTTCTGATTCTAAAAAATCGAATATTTTTGCCCAAAAACTGCGTGGTAAAAAAATCATCTTTCGTAGAAACAACAATCTAACCAATTTTAGCTAGGGATAATGTTGCCCTGTGTATCCACCATAATATAAATATGGGGTTTTTCAAGATCCAGATTTCTTATCGGCATTTCAAAAGATTGTTTCATAAAAACGCTCAGTTAGAAATTCTGGTTTAGACCTAATCGGCTTCAGACAGAAAACCAAATTAAAAAGGACAGCTATGATTTTCCGTAACCCCGACTTAAAAGGAATAAATATCGATACCTTCGGCAATAGCGGAATCGTCTGCATATAGTCGATCGTCATCGATTCCTTATCGTAGTCACCGTATTCCGCTGAAAACCCCACTTTTTAAAGTACTCATTTTTAGCGCATTTTAGGTAGAAGGATTTCTATTATAGAGTAAAAAATCCGTAAAAAATCGTTAAAAAAATCACCTTGTAAACTATGGGCGGCTAAACCGATATAATTCTCCATATCCATTGTGAGTCGGCCCTCAACGACGTCGAGTTTCATTAGCAGAAAGTAGTACGATCTGGAAAGGAATCGCTAAGAATCTCTGCTAGCCCCTGCCCTCTCCTCTTCCTCAACAATCTCTGCTAGCCTGCCCTCTCCTCTTCCTCAACAATCTCTGCTAGCCTTCCCTCTCCTCTTCCTCATCAATCTCTGCTAGCCTGCCCTCTCCTCTTCCTCAACAATCTCTGCTAGCCTGCCCTCTCCTCTTCCTCAACAATCTCTGCTAGCCTGCCCTCTCCTCTTCCTCAACAATCTCTGCTAGCCTGCCCTCTCCTCTTCCTCAACAATCTCTGCTAGCCTGCCCTCTCCTCTTCCTCAACAATCTCTGCTAGCCTGCCCTCTCCTCTTCCTCAACAATCTCTGCTAGCCTGCCCTCTCCTCTTCCTCAACAATCTCTGCTAGCCTGCCCCTCTCCTCTTCCTCAACAATCTCTGCTAGCCTGCCCTCTCCTCTTCCTCAACAATCTCTGCTAGCCTGCCCTCTCCTCTTCCTCAACATTCTCTGCTAGCCTGCCCAAACCCGAAAATTCCTACCTAGCCATCGGGTCGGTGAGAATGAATGGGTTGGGCGTATGGTAGAGTACTGCCAGCTGCACTTGACGTGGTTTGCAACCCCATTTTTCGAGCTGAAACTTCTAGATACTTCGGATTTATCAAACACTTAAAAAATATTTTGCTAGCTTTTTTATAAGATTTTTTATTAACGTAAAACATTTCCGTGATTAATCAGTTTGAATGTAACACTTTTCCTCACCTGCTTCCTCAACGGCCGATCCATTTCCACCCAGCGAAAGATGCGTTCATCCGGATCTTGTGAGCGCATCTGGAACCGCAGGCCGAACATGTGGATCTGAATGGCAAAACGAAATAAAATGTTTCGACGTGAAATGGAGGAAATTTGCTGCTTCAAAAATTAATGGATACATGTTCGTGGTCAATGTTTCCATTTAATGAAATTTTCGAATAAAAACGTGTTTGTTGCCGCCATATTTTTGCTAAACTTAATTAGAAAATAAATAACTTCCTAGAAAGAATATGTTCGACGAAGATTGGAAAACGTCAAATTAATTGGGGTTTTTTCGAAAAAAGTTAATTACGGAACGGTCCTCCCTCTTCATTGATTGTTTTCAACTTAAGTTAATTTTCATATAAAAACGGGCCTATTGCAGCGGCTTTTTTTGCGGTTCAAAAGGAACGCAACAATTCCCGGAAAATCAAAAACAAATGTTTCGAGGTAAAATGGAGAAAATTTGCAATTCTGAAAATTAATGAAACGGCTAATCATCGGCGACTAATTATTTATTTCTTTCATTTAATTTTATATTAAAATGCGCCTATTGCAGCCCTGTTTTTAATAGGATTAATTAAAAAATAATAAAAATTCAAGAGAATTAATATGTTTCGAATAGCGTTCGAGAAAATTCGTGAAAATTCTTTACTGTTGATTTTATTTTGTTATATGAAACATGCCTGGTTACCTAAAATTTTTTACTAGAATTGATTAGAAAAATGCATTTTCCTACTTGAAAGAATAATATGTTTCAACTCGGAAACTAGAGAAATGGCCAAATCAAAAATTAATGTATGGAAATTTACTTTTTCAATAAAAACCGACCTGTTGCAGCCCTCTCTTCTGTTGTATATATTCGATACATTCTCGTGCCGTACTCTCCGTACTCAGCGTACATTGTATCACCGGTTTATCCCCGATATTTACGGCCAGCACGTAGACATCTTGCGATAGGTCGTATCTGCAAAAAAAAGTTATCGTTCTGGTATTAAAGGATCAGTTTCAATGCTAATGTAATTTTTAGGGTTTTCGCATTAATGAAAGCCAAATTTTGGCTTTTCAGGTCCTTTAAAATCGATTGAAATTAATTGGTTAAAAAAATCATGATCCTCATTTTTCTGGTGCAGTCAGCCAGTTTTCTCTCCTAGAATTGTCTTTTTCAGGGGCGAAAAATGGTTTTTCCTTTTCGGTCCCTTTAAAATCGACCCTTCCACCACCGATCGGCATTATTTTTTCAGGAATTTAATCTGTAAAAAGGATTTCTTTCGTATCTTAAAATATTTCCATTTTTATGCTTCATGCTTTTTGAAGGTTTGCTAACGGTAGCCGAAGCTAATTATTGCGGATTTACACGATGTCACACTCCTTTTAAAACTCGTACCAACCTGCCGCTCTTCTTGCCGAGCCTCAGCTTCAGCGGGATCGTCCTCCCATTTCCCACTCCGGCCACCGCCCCTCCGGACGACCGGATCGAAGGGCCCGGCGAGCCAATTTTGCTGAAAAAGTTATTGCGTGGGCTACGGTAGCTGGAGTGCTATTTAGAATTCGCAAAAGTGGCGTCCAAAATTTCAAAACTGGGACAATCGCAGGAAAAATTGCTCGACGGCGAGGACGCATGGGATTGGCAGCGAGTGCCCAATTTTACTTGTGATTTTTCTGAAACATTTGCATGTGAAAGTTAAACCTGGATTTCATCAAAAGAGGGCGCTGGGGTAGAGAGAGAGAGCGAGAGAGAGAGAGAGAGAGAGAGAGAGAGAGAGAGAGAGAGAGAGTGATTCAGTGAGAGAGAGATAGAGAGAGAGATATGAGAGAGAGAGAGAGAGAGAGAGAGAGAGAGAGAGAGAGAGAGAGAGCGATACCGGGGGATGCTTTCTCAATCAATAATTATGGCTAGAATGACGGAATGAATGAATGAATGATTGTGAGCACACAACAATGTGTCTGTCTTGTGTCGGCTGAGAAGTGGAAATATTCCCCGTTTCTCTCTTCTTCTCGTGTCAAATATAATCATTTTCGGGCCGGTCGACCAGGGGGAAGGAGACGGGTGGAATTAATCACTTGCAAAAAGGAAAGAGAAAGGAACGGAACGGGACAGCAGAAAACCGGATTTCAAAACAAGCGAAAGTCCGGAAATTTCAATTCGAGCATATGGCAAGCAAATTAGCAAAGATTCATATTACGGAACAGGATAAAAATTTGAAACATCTTGGCCTCAAAAGGACTTGATTTCCGAAGCCTAAGCTAAGCTAAGCTAAAACTAAGCCTAATCCTAAGCCTACCCTAAGCCCAAGCCTAACTTAAGCCAAAACCTAAGCCTAAGCTTAAACCTAGACCTAAGCCAAGCCCTTTCTGTTTTTTTGCTTGTACTGATTAGCAAAACTGAATGTTGGTTATAAAATTATAGTTTAATCAATTTTCCATGAAAAATAACCAAAAATAGGTCATAGAATAGAAATGCCAATTTCAAAACGCTAAAGCAGAAATTATGATGATTGTTCGAAGGCTTAGTAACAAGCTCAAAAATTGCGGAGCCTAATAGGAATTTGAAACACCTCATTTCCACCACACCTCACCACATTAACACCATACTGCTCAACCGACCAATTTAATCACCTAAATTAAAATTATGGCTCAATAAAAATTAAAGTGTATTTCAGCACTTTTTGCAAATAAAAAACTGTATTTTTAGTCCTTTTTGTCTCTCAAATTCTTTAATTTGGTGTCTATTGCTGCTGCTCGAAAAACGAATGTTTTATTTTTCTGAACAAAGCGGATATTCAGGGTTTTCCTGAATTTTGGAAAAAAAACAATAACCAAAAAAGTCTAGAGATTAACTGTAAAATTGAATTATTATTACTCGGGCTTGAGCAAGCTATATTAATTAAAGCAGAAATCACGAATTATCCCATCATTTTGAAACACTTTTTGCTCCGAAACAAGCAATAAAAACAGGATGCACGCAATTTTTGTTGTTGTTTATTATTTTTGATTCTCATTCTTTTGGAACAAAAAGAAACATAAAACAACGAAATTGGTAAGTATTAAATAGTAGTAAAAAGTATTAAAGGTATTAAAAAGTGTAACATTTTAGTTTAAAAATTGCTTGTCTGGTGAATCAAGCGAAAACCCCCAGAAAATGCTCGGAAATGTAGTAAAAACAAACGCGGAAAAATCATCAGTGAATTTTTGGGCGTTGAAGCCTCAAAAAGGAAACAATTTTTTTCAAACGCGGATAATAAGAAAACCATTCTTTTAAATCGACAGGCTGTCGAATAAGCTTAAATTAGCACCGATAGGTATTTATTTAATTAATTTTACGCCTAATAACTGAGAATTGCTTTTTAGTTATAATTATTCCCATTTTGTTGTAGCTAATTACACCATGAGATCAAAACAACAGTATTTGGCAGCCGATAATCAAAAACTTTTGAAAAGGTGAAACACGTTATTCAAAAAATATTTGTAGCTTTTGCGGATCTTTAAGTCTCTTTAAAAATAATTGTATCTACCTTTCATTTATCCAATAATAATAGTGCTAATCCAAATTCCAGCACCCTGTAAAAACACAAAAATCGTTAAAAACGCTGCGATGGATGCCTACTGATAGAAATTGCAGCCCCAGGAAGGCCAAAAAAATGAGAAACAAATTATTTAGCAGCCTTATAAAATTAAAAGCAGGACTTTAACGATAAAATAACTGTTATGCAAATTAACAAAAGCAAAAGTTAAAACAGCGTCGAGGGGAGGGGGCAGCCGGCTGAAGTCTTGCGCGTTCGCGGCCCCCCTCGCTGCCCCTTTCGCGAGACTGTTTGGGGTCGAATGGGAGAGAGAGAGAGAGAGAGAGAGAGAGGGAGACAGAGATAGGAAGGAATTCCCCCTCCCCTCGCCCCTCTCAAGGTCTTCTCGTCAACCCATCTCCCCCCCCCTTCCCCTCTCTTGCCTCCGGTCTGATATACGGAACCTGGAGGGGTGAACACACATTCGCCCTCTTGCTCGCGTTTAAGGGAAGCGCAAGTCAAAATCTATGGATTTGTGGATAAGGATTTTAGATGGATTTGTCTTATCAAAGCGTTTAAAGGGGCCAGTAAGGCAAAATTCGGAAAGTTTGCCAACTAGAGAGACAATTTCAGGAAAGTTGCGGAAAAGTTAATTCAGAAAAACGACATTTTTCGTGCAAAATCTATTTGTTGAGCCATCTGGAGTCATTCAAAAAGATTCTGTGTTTGCCACCGCTTAGGACGACCGCTACAGATGAGGTCCCTTGTAAAATTGGCGACAAGTCAGCAGATTACGCTATGAAAAGGGGGCGAGAGCACGGCTGAAGAGGAGCAAACCGATTTCCGTCGAATCACGTGTGTTGGAGTAGTTTTCGCTCTCTCTCGCTTTCTCTCGCTTTCGCACTCGCTCGCCCTCTCTCGCTCTCTCTCGCTTTCTCTCTCTCGCTCTCGCTCCCTCTCGCTCTCTCTCTCTCTCTCTCTCTCGCAGCGCCGTAACGCGACCGCAACGCTGTTGATCTAGTCAGCGCCTTGCTCGTCCCATTAAAGGCACAATGACAGGACCCTAATTACCGTACTCCGCTAGACATCTTGATTGTCTGTATGCCTCTCTCTCACTCTCTGTCTCTGTCTCTCTGTCCATCTCTCCCTCTACCTCTGTATCTGTTGGATCTGTTTGCCAAACTGTCACTCTTCCTGTCTCAACACCGAGTACTGATTTATTAGCCAAAAAAGCAGAGAAACACAGAATTTTCTAATTAAGCACATTTTTGGTTGTCGGGTGATTTGGGTGGGGCGGGGCCGGCAGCGACAGCAGTAGATGAGCAACAGCAGCGAGGAGGTGACGGGAAATGGCTAGAAATAGAGGGGAGAGGGAGGGGGCGAGAGAAAGAGAGGGGTCAAGTGAGATACAGAGCGAGAGGGATAGCGAGAGATAGAGAGTGAACGGGTGGGGGTTGTTTAGTGGCGTGTGATCCGCGTCCGATTCTCGCCGCTAAACGTGCCTGTAATGACTGTCAATATACGTGGGCAGGGTACCTGTTTCCCTTTTTCGTCGTCAGCTCCTCCATCTTCTTCCGGTCCACTTTCAGGATACGCTCGAGGGCCCTGGAAAAGAGAGGGGTAGGCTAGCAGAGATTGTTGAGGACGAGGAGAGGGCAGGCTAGCAGAGATTGTTGAGGAAGAGGAGAGGGCAGGCTAGCAGAGATTGTTGAGGAAGAGGAGAGGGCAGGCTAGCAGAGATTGTTGGGGAAGAGGAGAGGGCAGGCTAGCAGAGATTGTTGGGGAAGAGGAGAGGGCAGGCTAGCAGAGATTGTTGAGGAAGAGGAGAGGGCAGGCTAGCAGAGATTGTTGGGGAAGAGGAGAGGGCAGGCTAGCAGAGATTGTTGAGGAAGAGGAGAGGGCAGGCTAGCAGAGATTGTTGAGGAAGAGGAGAGGGCAGGCTAGCAGAGATTGTTGAGGAAGAGGAGAGGGCAGGCTAGCAGAGATTGTTGAGGAAGAGGAGAGGGCAGGCTAGCAGAGATTGTTGAGGAAGAGGAGAGGGCAGGCTAGCAGAGATTGTTGAGGAAGAGGAGAGGGCAGGCTAGCAGAGATTGTTGAGGAAGAGGAGAGGGCAGGCTAGCAGAGATTGTTGAGGAAGAGGAGAGGGCAGGCTAGCAGAGATTGTTGAGGAAGAGGAGAGGGCAGGCTAGCAGAGATTGTTGAGGAAGAGGAGAGGGCAGGCTAGCAGAGATTGTTGAGGAAGAGGAGAGGGGCAGGCTAGCAGAGATTGTTGAGGAAGAGGAGAGGGCAGGCTAGCAGAGATTGTTGAGGAAGAGGAGAGGGCAGGCTAGCAGAGATTGTTGAGGAAGAGGAGAGGGCAGGCTAGCAGAGATTGTTGAGGAAGAGGAGAGGGCAGGCTAGCAGAGATTGTTGAGGAGGAGCCTTGCGTAGAAAGTAGCTGAACACCGACTTGGAGATGTCCTTCATGGTGAAGCGGTCATTGGGGTTGTCGGACCAGCACTTCACTTCGATAATCTGCTTGACGTCGGGCGGCATATCCGGTGGCAGATCCATCCGGTATCCCTCCTTCACCTTGACGTTCACCTCGGCCACCGTCATCCCGGGGTACGGCTCGACGCCGTTGTTCAGAATCTCCCAGCACATGATCCCGTAGGCGAACACGTCCGTCTTCTGCGTGTAGATGGCGTTGCGCAGCGTCTCCGGGGCCAGCCAGCTGCAAAAGAAGCGTTATAAAAATTTTTCAAAATCCTAAAAAACCTCTGCGAGCCTGCCCCCTTTTAAATGGCCTCACCGAATGGGAACACGACGATGGGGGTCCATCTGGTATACGGTACCCTCACGGGTCAACCCAAAGTCGGAGATCTTCACGCGGTTGTCACCGTAGAGACAGTTTCGGGCGGCGATATCACGATGGAGCACCTCCTTCAGGTGCAGATACTCGATGCCCCACGCCGACTGCAACAAGTTCAGTGAGACAATGCGTGAAAAATTGTGTACAAAACCGTTTGGTACTAGGTCACCGACTTCAAGCAGCACAATGTTCAATACCTGAACGATCATCTCGAGCTTCTTTTCCATGGGGCAGGCATTCTTCTGGAGGAACGAGTCGAGGGCGCCCTGGTTCGCCAGCTCCATCACCACCATCAGCGGCTCCTGGCCGGCGGCCACGCCGTAGAACTGAAAAACACGACGAGGTCGACAAGTTCAGTATGCTTGAGGAGCGCGGCAAGTTCAGCGCGTTCGACGATTTGAGCATTCAACATTAGCTCGACGCTTCGAGAAGTTTGACGAGCTCGGCAAGTTCAAGCAGTTCAGCCGCCCACCTTGACGACGTGCGGGTGCTCAAAGTTGCGCATCAGCCGCGCCTCGCGCATAATCTCCTTGATCTGCTCCTTGGTGAGCACCTCGAGCTTCGCCTAAACGGCATGGTGTTGTTAGACCCCTTAACACGCCAGATCCCCCGCTAATGCACAAGTGCCCACCAATTTAACAGCGACATCGACCGTCTTGCCGTTCTTGAGCTTGAGCTTCCCCTTGTGCACTTCTCCAAAAGCGCCCTCTCCCAACTTCTTGGTGCACTCGATATCGGCATGGTTGAGCTCCCATGGCTGTCGATTGATGGGGGTGGTGAGGAGGACATCATTCGACTTGGAGATGCTCTCTTTCTGCTTCTTATGGTAGTCGACCATTGCCGAGATCGAGTCGAACGTGAACTTCTCGATCGACACCTTCCCTCCTTCGTGTTGTTTGATGACAAAGTGCTTGATGCCCTGGTCCTCGCCGCGCGACGGGTCCCACATCACCTGAAAAAAGTGCACTTGTGCATTAATAGATGCCAATTGACCATCTGGGGAAAAAGCAAAAAGTTTGGCGCTGAGAGGACTCGAACTCGCGTCCTGAGATTAAGAGACCCAACCGCTAACCACTAGGCCACCCTTGGAGAGCGTGGCCAAGTGGCAACGCTCCCGGTTTTGAGCCATACCGTCCGGGTTCGACCCCCACCGCTGTAGATTTTTTGCTTTTTGACCAGAAGCTGAGAAAAAATCTTTTAAAGGCGCGGCCAAGCCTGGAAAGCCGTACCGACAAGACGAAGGCGCGCTGCTGGCCAGCGACGGGCTCGGTGGTGCGGACGAGGAAGTCGCCCTTGTTGCGCAACATCATCTTGATGTCCTCACGGGGCAACAGACCGTGGTACCACTTTTCGCCTGAAAAAGAGAGGAAATGGTGTGAGAGAGAGCGAGAGTTCAAGAGAGAGAGCGAGACAAACCACCGCTAACTCATAAGCTCCAAGCAACTGCCTGTTACCTGCCAATACACGCTCCATGTCGAGTGGTGGATGAGGGCCGGGAGGATGAGGATGAGGATGAGGAGGAGCTGGAGCTGGAGCTTCTGGAGCAGCTTCCGCGAACGGCCAAAGATATTTCCACCCCAAGAAAACCTCAAGATATACGAGAATACCTAGGGAAATTACCGTCCCTAAAAAATCATGCAAATTGGGCCGAAACTCCGGTAATTTGCATAATTCCGGATTCCAGGAACCCTCCAAATCCAGAGGTGATGCTCATTTCGAATCTACCCGTCCGGCCCGACGCGTCGACGCAATGGAAGAAGTGGGTTTGACGTGATTTTTTGCTTCTTTTCTTCGCTCTTTTCTCGTTTTTACTAACTTTACTAAATAAATACTTAAAATTGATTAAAAAAAGAAAAAATTGATTTTTCAGGCCGTCCCCACCCGGTCTCGGTCGCGCTCCCGCTCGAAGTCGACGAGCAGCAGCAGTGGGGGCAGCGATGCGAGCCGGCGCTCAGCCGCTGGAGGAGGCGAGCGGACGCCCGTCGCTAAGAAAAGTTTGGCAAATTATTTTCCCTTAAATTAGCACTTTTTAGAATCGGTGCCCCAGGTGCCCGGCGGGACCACCACGTTTTTTGGTCGGTTTTAATTGGTTTTAAACATTCAAAAAAATTAAAAACCTTTTTTTAAACTATCGAGTTTTTGTATCATATCTACATTTTGGTAAAACATCGGTCCATTTTGGTGGAAAAAAGATATATTTTTGTACTTTTTCAACAAATTTTTGTAATTTTTCCACGTTTAGGAATAGAAAAAAACAGTTTAAAAACACTTCACTATTTACATTACAAAAGTTAGATCCTAAAAATTGCCCCCCGATAAGGCAAAACCCCTCTGGAGTCAAGCTGCTTCATTTCTCCCATTTTGCAGGCAACCTGACCGGAATCATGACTGGGGGCATCGCGAATCTGAAGGTGAAGAAGACGTCGGCCAATCGAAAGGGAGCAGCAACGAGAATAGCGGCGGCAGGACCAAGTATCACAAGCTCCCGAAGTCGCCAGGAGGCAAGAAGAGGTCGAAGAATAAGGGCGAAGCCTCGCGGGAAGTTCGAGAAGGACAGACGGTGGTGCCTCGTGGTCCGGATGGGCAGACCGTTGTTCCGCGAGGGCCTGACGGAATGACTGTCACCCCTCGTGCACCGGATGTGCCCAAGGAGCCTGTGGTAAGACGGGCCCGAATCGGGATCTTTTGCATTATCGGGGGGATGGGCACTATAACTTCAGTTTTCACTAAATTTCACCATGTTTCAAGTGGAATTACAGTAAAAACTCACAAAAAATTGAACGTTTCATCGGAAAATCGCTAATTTCTTTGTAATTTTCATTAAATTTTTTACGCCTAGGAATAGTAGAAAACACTTTTAAAAGACGTCCTCTATTTACATTAGAGAAATTGGACCCTAGAAACCCCCCGATAATGCAAAAGAACCTCTTATCAAAGATCGCGAGCCAAGCGCGAGAAAAAAAATCGTAAAACATTACTTTTCCTCTAAAGGCTTTTCAGGCTTTTAACGGCTTGACGACTTCTAATAATCTTTTCCTAGCTTAAAGCAAAACAGTACCACCCCCGGACGGGATCGAACCCGGACCTTGCGCCTCAAAAGCCATAGCTTTACCACTGGGCCACGGCAGGCAACCCCTCACCTACTGTATCTGAACTCTTTGTAATCCTACAGGTGTGTAAAATATACCAAAATACTCGTCAGACCGAGACGAACATTTTGATATACTTTACAAATCTGTAGACCAACAGGAGCGGAGATACAAAGGTTTCGGTGCCGGCTGTGGGGTATCTCCGGCCTTAAAAGCGTATCTTTTTTAGTTCGAGAAGCCGGGCGGAAAGGACATGGCGTCGTTGCCCCCCGGGATGAAGGCATCCGACTTCCAGCGCCCCGAGGGCGCCGGCACCGATTTTGTGCTCGATCTGGGACCGCCAAAGCCTGCCGCCGCCCCGGCTGCTCCGGCTGCTCCTGCCGCCAATGGTAGATTTTATGGCTGAAGATTTTTCGGTATATTTTTACCTATTTTAACCCGATTTCCAGAGCCGAAGGTGAAGGCTATGGAGCTGGACGGGGGCCAGAACTGCGCGACGCTGCCCCCGGGCGCCAAACCCGAAGACTTTGCCCGCCCCGAGGGCGCCGGCACCGACTTTGTCCTCGACCTAGGACCCCCGAAGTAAAAACTTTTCAAAACGTCGAAATTTTGGGCAAAAATCGCCCAGTTTTGGTCGAAAATCGGTATTTTTGACATTTCTTTGAAGAATTTTGTAACCTTTTCCGTTTAGGAATCCGAAAAACACAGATTGAAAAAGAACCGACTTTTCACCCTTGGAAACTGACCTTTACAACCCTTTAGACCTGCCGGCGGAACCACGACAACCACCACCACCAGCACGGGCAACACCACCATGTCGAAGGTGGACGAGGAGGGCGGTGGTGGGTCATCGAAAAACGCTTACTATTAACGTTTTCAACTTAACGTTTTGAAACTATAAAAACCTTACAGAGGGCGCCGCGGGCAAGGTGAACGCGATGGAGCTGGAGGGCGGGAAGACGATGGCCACCCTGCCGCCCGGGGCCAAACCCGAAGACTTTGCCCGCCCCGCTGACGCCGGCACCGGATTCGTGCTCGACCTGGGACCCCCGCCCGCCAAGCCATGTAGTGTAGCAATAGCGCTTTTTCAGCATTGAAGTTCTTCACGCGCAAAATTTCGGAATTCTAGACATCTAAAGTTCAAAATTTACAAATTACGAGGTCTAAAACGCCAAAAACCCCTAATTAGGTTAGCTAATCGAGCTTTTTCCAATCCGTCCCGATTTTCCACGATTTCAGAGACTCGAGAAGTGGCCAACTGATGTTCCCCTTGCCCCCTCATCCCGGATCATGGCCAGCCGGAAGTGTGCCTTAATTTCGACTACCTCCACTCTACTACCCCCGCCCCGCTCCACCACTACCACCATTTCTTCTGTTCTATTAAAGAGAAAATGAAAATTCGTGCTGTCCCCGGTTTAATGTGTAATAAAGCTTGTCATCGAATCGATTGTTAAACCCGTACACGAACATAAACACGCTTTTGCCGCTTTAACAGCTCCTTTTCGAACCGAGAAACCCGTTTTTTAACGAGACGCTTTTTGCCAAAAAAAGTTAGGTTTTGCAATTGAAAGAACGCTTTTGGGAAAAGCACGTGTTTTGGATTTTTAATTGCCGCCGCAGAGTTTCCGATCAGCTACAATTTTCGCCTGCACCCTTGTCTTGCGCTCCAGGACCACAGCGTCCATTGTAGCGCCTTGGAATACCGTAACCCCGCTCGGGAGGCTCTTTCGTCTTTTCAGCAGTTTTCGATCGACATGTCGTAGTGCTGCAGTACACAAAACCAAAACGGCGGCCAGATTGCCGCTAGGATGCTTTTTTCTTTAGATCAGCATCTTTCAAAGTATACAGGAAAATATCTTATTTTTGGTTGGCCTGATAGTTTTTAATTGATGCCTTCAAGTAATTTCAAGTTCTTCGGTTATGTGAAAAACCCCCGCGCGCTGCTTCACTTTCCTCGCGTTATACAAATCGCCAGATTCGATGGTTTCAACGGTTATCGTTGCTGTTAATTGTTCTCCTTTCCCTTTTTTCTATACTACCCCGGCCTCCCCGAAAATACCCTTCTTTCCAGGATGTCTTCGACTTTGAGCCCGAAAAAGGTCCGCAAGATTAACGATTACTTCCCAGCTCCTGCTTCCAAGGTCTGCTTTGACTTTCTATTGGTCATTTTTAATTTTAGAAGCTGAAAGACGAGAATTCGGATGACGGAGACGCTGGCAGCCAGGGTCAAGCCGATTCGGACCATGGGCCAACCGAATTCGACGGGGACTTGGTACCAATATCTTACCTGCAGCAGCATTTGCAGGTATTGAATACAGTGTGATTTTTGAAAATGAAGTGGAAAAAGAAAGCGCGAAGTTACCCTTTTCCAGCCGATGTTCGAATTCATCAAGACGACGAAGAAGGCAAACACACAGCCAAACACTTCAAGAAGGTCGCTGCCGAATATTTCAAGACACAAAGGGAATCGACGATCCAGAGTAACTTTTTCATTTGGTTGGCTAATACGAATGGTCTAGAAAATGGGGCAAATGCATGGATCACTACTTGCGCATTGCTCTTCGACACTCTAACATATCGATCGGTCACTGTTGCGACGTCCTTCATTACTACATGCAAAAGTAATTTCTATTTTTCGATGACTAAATGTTTTAGGGGTGACACCGTCCGCCAGTATTCCGATTGGCCAAAGCTACCGCTGAGTCTTGTGCGCACATATGCGAAGAACAATGGGATAAAGTTCGGCTTCGGCGCGTCTCTTAGTGTGGGTTTGCGATGCCATTTTGAAGTATTAGGTGTTTCAGGAGGCTACTGCGGCCATGAATAACGATTCGGCGGGTCGCGATGCCGCAAATTCAGAAGTACTTGCCGCCAAAGTGAAGTATTTATTGACTTTCTTCTTCAATAATTACTTTTCTTTTAGGTACGTCGAAGACGTGAAGGAGTTCCGTCGTCTTCACCACGACCTCAGCAAGGAACAAGTCGAATTCATCCAGAAGACATTGTCAAAATACGAAAAGGCCGACAAAGCGGAGGGACCAAAGGTGCTTTTCAAGTTCTTAGGGGAATGCATCCTTTTTAGGTCACACCGGTGAAGAAAAAGTCATCCCCGAAGCCTAAGCCACTGTTTGAGACGCCATTCGCCGCCTTTTGCCATGGTTATCGCGAACAGTAAGTGCCCTCTTTTCCTCATTCACCTTTCCTTGAGGTATCTCGAGTTGGATGCTGAGAAGCGCATCAAGAAGCTATCGAAGAAATTCAAGAAGCTGGGCGATGCGGAGCTGGAAGTTTATCAGCGACTAGCCGAATAACTCGATTGACCAGTTAATTGCATTATTTACACGTTGTTGCAAATTGATTAATTGTTGGATACTCGACAGACTCCGTAAATAAATAAATATTTCCTGCATGATCCAAGTTGTAGTGGCAAGGTTGTCGTGGGTCTTCAGGATTTTGAACTTGCCTGGTTGTGGATGAGTGTCAAATTTTCATCCCCGGGCTTGTGAATTTTAGCCGTTTTGAGTTTACTTTTGATCGCTGCTTCCCTGATACGTGACTTTCCTTACTACTATGGAATTTCACGAATTACGGTAATTTAGGAATGGCTTACTGCCGCAGAATACGGTAAAAAAGTTTATGGTTGATTTATTTGAGCTGCTCCGGAGCTTGTAGCGCCTATCTTCCTATTCCGGGATCCCTGAGTTACGGTAATTTCTAAATTAGGTTTTTTCTCTGTATCATCAAGTGAAAATTGGGAGTTTATTCCATTCGTCAAAGCAAGAACGGAATGATGGCGGCTCGTTCTTTTGGGTAGTTGTCAAACTTCTGCAAGTACCATCTAAAAATATTTGGGATGCGCAGGCAGATATCTCGCTTTCACCTGTGATGCTGCAGCGCCCTCGGCCCAATGTTGGCGGCTGTGAACAGGGCGAATGCGTAGGCGGGCAATGTCCCACTTGCCAGCGCGAAACCGCACCATTCGACGATTTCACCAAAATAGTTTGCGCCTGAGACGTAGTCGAAAGGCCGCCTGAGAATGGAGGATTTGTAAATTTCCTTTTATCGCTGTATCGATTTCCTATCGATCTTTAGCTGCTTACGTCATAAAATGGTGCTACCTCTGGGAATCTTGTAAGCCGTCTCGCCGGGCTGCCGGAGATTCCTCAAAATGTGATCGGAGTGTTGGTTGATGGCGAATCCGACGAAGAACAGGGCGACGCCCGCCAGGCTGACCGGCTTGAAGAGGTGATTTGCCTCGTAGTCGATGACCCGCGCGTGGTAGGCGCCTTGCATGAAGCTGGAAACGAAAATTATACATTTTTTAAATCACTACCCATTCCAGGCGCAGAAACAAAACGCCGACATGAAAATGTAGAACGGCGTCGGCTTCGACGATTTGAGCCACAGCGGGAAGAGGAATGTCCTGGAATGGGGAAGAGTATAGTGTTAATGAAAATTAAATGAGACACCTCACAAAATAGTGGCCAACAAAGAGGGCCAGGATGAAGCGGCTCGTCGTCGTTTGGCAGCTGAATAGAAAGTAGGCGCTGATGAAGAAGGAGGGGGCTTCTTGTAGGAACCATGCCCATCGCCCAGGGATTGAAAGCTGAAAATGGGAAATTGGGATGCCGAAAGATGCCTAGTAACGTAGTAGCAAGAACTTTAATATTTTTTTTTGAGTCGAAAGCAGGGTTGTTCACCGATGGACCCGGATCGGTAAGGATCCGGATCGGATCTGGATCCGGATCCGGATCGGATCCGCAGTCGGATCCGGATCCAGATCCAGATCCGGATCCGCTCGGATCCGGATCCAATGCGGATCCGAGGAAAAAAGGGACCGGAAGTATTATTCTCGATTCTGATGCTGATTCGGTCATGTTAATCGCAAAAATACATAGCCCAGAGGCAGAACCAGGGGCGTAGCCAGAAAAAAATTTCGGGGGGGGGGGCCCCGAAAAATTTTTTGGAAAAACTTAAAAATTAACGAGAAAACAGCGCCGCAGGCGAAAAATTTTGGAAAAAGGCAATATAGCTCTACAAATAGCAGTAAAAACGTGAAAAAATAGCGCCGCAGGCAGCAAAATTTTTGAGAAAATAAAAATCATAAGGGTCCCCCCTTATGAAATTTTCGGGCCCCGGCCGATTTCGGGGCCGGGCCCCCGGGGCCGGTATTACGCTACGTCCCTGGGCAGAACTGATCTTTGCATCTAAGAATTAGCACTTAACTCGGTTGCATGATCCATTTCCTTGGATCCGGATCGGATCCCGGATCCGCCCTGGATCTGGATCCGGATCCGGATCCTACGGCGGATCCGGATCCGGATCCGATCCAGATCCAGATCCGGATCCAGTCCGATCCGAAAATGACCAACCCTGGTCGAAAGTACAAAGTCCAGATTTAAAAATGTCCAAAAATACGAAATTTTCGTCGAAAATCTAAGTTACTGCAATTTAGAGACCGATATTTGGAATATTTTTGAACATACCGATGACTCGACGGCATACCGTCCATATCCGGCGGTGATCCCTAGCTGTAGGGCCGTGCATGTGACGATACCCGCGGCAATCATCACCCAGGCCGAAATATCGAGCGTATCTTGTAGGTGCTGCTGATCCCAGATCCATTGAGTAATGACGGCATCATTTCCACTAAAAATTATCAGAATTAAACGATAAGAAACGTGGTGCAAACATTAAAATTGGTACTGAACTATTAGCAGGGTGGGGACTAATTTTTCCCTGTAATCCTGTAAAGCCTATAACAAAATATAAGCCATTTTATAGAATTTTACACAGTATTTAAAATAATAAAATTCACAAAATTTGGGGAAATTGTGGCTTGTTGGTTAAAATTTATGAAAAACCGACTTGAAAAGTCAAAATTTTCCTTTTCAAATTCCCCCTGCTAACAGTCTAGTACCGAATCTTTAACGCGGAAACTGTGCAAAAATTGGAAAAAGGTCTCGGCCACAATTGAAGGCCATCTATGCTGCAGAATTCGCCAAAAATGGCCGGGCGCCGCGACCCCCCGGATCACGTCACTAGGGGAACGAAAAGAACGAACATTGTCCGTACTCTGGTCCCGAGAAGGCCGGCTCAAAAGGCGCAGCAGACAAGGTGTAATTAACGCCGTAAATGGGCTGAACAAAAGGTATTTGCATTAGTAAAATTTAACCATGTTTTCATTGGGAAAACATACAAAACACTATAAAAAATATTTAATGAAATCACTATTGAAAATCGGCCATTTTTGGTCGGAAATCCGGCTTTTTTTATTTTTTTTCAAGCCATTTTCCCAAGTTTTTCCGCTTAGTAATCGGAAAAACACTTCCTTTATTTATATTATGAAAATCGAAAAAATTGGAACAAAATTAATCATGTTGCTGCCACAAAAATCAAATCTTGGGCGGATTTTACGAATAAAGAAAACAAAAAAATTCGCTCAGGAACAGTCAAAACCCCGGTAGCTCAAATAGACAGGGGCAAGTTCAAATACAACGCTATATCAGCGAGTCGGCCGCCCACCGCGCGTACGACAAAATGATAAGCGGAAACGCATGGTTAGCGCGAGACAGCATGGTTTTCGGGTATGCTAGCAGAGATTCTGGGGGAATCTAGCCAGAAAAGTAGCCAGGTTAGCATAGCAAAGATCATCATTGCCAAGTCTTCTGCCCTAAAAAGTTCCTGCTCCTAAACTCGATACTATGCAATTGGGAATGTCAAAATCAGCTCCGAGCCATGATAATGCTATCATTTATTCAACACCGAATAAAGAGAAAGATCGCAATCGAGAGGACCCGTCGAATGGCTGGGGGCATTTCAACATTGAAAGAGCAAAGAAAGAGAGAACATTAATCGAAGCACACAAAAAATTTAATTGACGCTAAAGTCTTGAAACGGGAGATTGAGGGACTTGTAGTCTGAGACGGGCGATGGGGCTCGGTAGCGGGACGACGACCCGGAGACGCTTTGAGAGATTAGCTGCAAAAAGTGATTAATTTGGGCCTGTAAAATTTTTCGTTAACTTTTAGATTTCCTAAAAATCGCGGTTGGTCACCCCATGAACGACAGAACAACAAAAAAATTAAAAGCAATTTCCAATACCTACTAAATTCCCTAGAAAACTCGGCTCGTTACCCTACGATCAAAAAAAATCGCAATAATTTAAAAAGTAATTTTTCTAATAACTCCCAAATTCCCTAAAAATCTTTGCTAGCCTACCCTACTACAAAAGAACCCGTAAAAATTACAAGATTTATTTTGACTAACCTATCAAACCCCTAAAAATCACTACACAAACCACAGATAAAACTAAAAGATAAAATGGAGCCGCCTAGCCTTCAAAAAATTAAAACTTCCGCTAACTTCTAAATTCCCTAAAAATCTCGGCTAGTTACTCTACGATCAAAAAAATCAAAATAAACCGGCAGCCTCTAAAAATCTAACTTTAATATTAATTTTTATCGTTAAATTCTCCAAAAAATCTACTCACCATGTTTTGGGCATAAAAACAGTCAGTGAGGGGGCTGCCGGCTCTACCAAATCTCAACATTCTCCCCGCCAGTATACTGAACAACCAAAAGCAAGTGTGTGAAAAGAGTGGAAAAGATACCGTAGGCGGTTTGGCTGGCGGGGCGCTCGGTGCGGGCAGAAATGAGGCGGGGACGCTTGGCGGGGCGAATGCTAGTCCGGAGGCGCCTGGAAATGACATACATACGTAAAACCAAATCAAAACTTACCGGGCTGGGGAATGGCGTAGTGTAAGGCGACGGGTGCTGGGGAACCGTAGCTCATCGCGCCGCCACCTGTAAAGTTAAAATTGCAAAATTAAAGTTATGTGCCAAAAATTTTAAATTACAAAATTTAGGTCTTTTCCAAAATTGATAAAAACCGCCTGTTTTTCGTTACAGATCTAGGTTTTTTGAAATCCTAACTCTTCATTTTAAAATTTAAACTCTTCTTAAATCTTTTTTTAGGAAAATAAAACTATATTTGAATCAGAAATCAATCTAAAAACGTTTTCAGATTTTCAAAAGTCGCAAATTTGGTCAAAAACGGCCATTTTTGGTCGAAAAGCTATGTTTTCTATTTCTAACAAAAATTTGTAAACTTTACCGCACGCCCCGATAATGCGAATGAATCCCATTAACATTTTCAGAAAACAACCAATATAAAAAGCACTGCCGCCGGGAATTTGATGCTCAAGTTCCTCAAATGTGCCCTTTTTGGGCACATTTTAGTCCCAAAAACGTTAAAAAACCCTACTGACCATCCAGTCGTTTATAAGCGGAAAGCATGGAGTGGAGAAATGTCTTGTCCTGATTCGCCAGCCGCATCACCGCCATGATGAACTGGATCTCGTCGACGCGGCCGAGAAGATCGCCTGAAAAATGAACATATTCGAATTTTTAAAACCTCCATACCAAGAATCGATTCGGGTCCCGCGGGCCCGGCCGCCGGCGCATTGAGCCCAATCTTGGCGGCTAGCACGGCGATTTTCTCGCGAATCTAAAAATCATTTTCGAAACCGATAAATCCACGCACCCCGCGCTCCCAGTTGGTCACATTCTGCACGTAATCATTGTAGGCCTGGGTGCCGGCTTGTCTCCTGAAATTGGAAGCAATTAGAGCGCGCGATTTTTTGTACAAGTCTAGAAATGCCTAGTAACCAAATATGAAGTATTATTATAACGTTTTTAGGAAAATACAACCATCTTTCAAATAGCAAACCTATCTAAAAAACTAACACTTTTCAGAAATGCGAAATTTTGATCGAAAAACGTTATTTTCCTATTTTATAAAGCTTTTACATTTAGGAATAGCAAAAACAAACCGGTTTCGCTATTTGTATTTGAAAAAAATCCTAGGAAAAATTTTATCACATCCCGACAATGCGAAAGAATCCCTTATCAGTCCAGAGATGCACTAGGAACCGTTTTAACAATGTTGTCTCAAAAAAATACTTTAACTGCAACAACAAGCTCTCAAGTAAACGTAAAAATGTTCGAAATCTATCGATTTTCCAATAGAACCGAGCGTAGTAATGTAGAGAGAAAACAGAGAGGGAATAAAGCAACTAGAGACTGTTTTTAGAAGGGCGAACAAGCAAGCAAACCGAGAAATGTGCTAAAACTAACGTATTCGCCGCCTTCCACTCGTTGACCTTGGCCGTTTGCTCGCGCAGGGCATCGACGAGGGCCTGGTACTCGCGGCGGTCCTAAAAACTTCAATTTTACTAGAATTTCGAATAATACACGAAGCAACAACGAATTTAAGAGATTTTATAACTACCTGTTCCGACATCGGGTTCCGAAAGGATAATACTTTTTCGGAAATCGGCGTCGCAGCCAGTTTTCAACTACGCGTCGCTCCAATGCGCAGGCTCTTTCCCTGGCCTTTCGACAATCGTACATGCGAGCTTATTACTCGAGGCCAAAATTTGAAAAACTTTATCAACGTTTCAGGTTTATAATCGCAAAATATTGATCGGTAAAATTGCTTTATATACCGGGTAAGACAATGGCACTGGTCGTCGGAGGGCTAGGGCTTCGTTATATCAAATTATGTAGCGAATCCGGGCCGCAAAATAGCGCATAGATGTATTTCCAAAAAGAAAGGTACAATGTTGGGTCATAGGGTTATAGGTACGTGTTCGCTTCTGGCGACCCCAGAATTCTCGATCAAACTTGTCGCAAATATGACGCAGCTCGGTAGCGACGAGATCGAGGATTCGCGCTGAAAGATTTAGGTTTTTGTCTTGGTTAGAGTGAAGTTTACCTCCCCCCGCCGGCCGGCACTCTACAGGTGTGTAAAGTATACCAAAACGTTCGTCTTCTTCTGGCGAATATTACTTTACACGCCTGTAGATGAACAGGAGCCGAGATACGGTAGGTGGGGATCGGTTGGGGAGGGGGGGCGGTAAACTGCACTAAGCCTTTTCTTGGCTTGGCCCTGAAATGGATAGGACGACAAAGCGACGTTTTATATATTTTTAATAACATTTTGTAAAGTTTTCGCGTTGAGGAGCAGTAAAGAACCATCTAGAAACACTTCCAGGATTTATATAGAAAAATTTGACTAAGAAAAAGTTGCCCCCCGATAACGCGAAAGAGCCGGCGTTTTAATCGGCTGATTTGCTTCGAAAATCTTGATTTTAAACGTAATTTTGCCGGTCGTAAAAAAGCCAGAACAAACTTCTTACCTTCATCCATTAGTCGGAAAATTGGCAGTAACTTGGCGGTAGTTAATACCAGACGATTATAGTGTAATTCTAGAGCGCAAAACGCAGCGATTAGTCCAGTTTCCTGGATAAACGGATCTACCCGTTTCCCCGGGATGACATATGGCTTTGTGGGTGGCCCCTGAGGGCGGGACGGTCCGCAGTAAAAAACTGTCAAACCGGGGGCGAGGTAAGGGTAATTGCGTAGCCTCGTGGGTGGTCTCGCGCAACACAACGAGGGACACCCATAAACGGGCATATTGTCTCTTTGGCAGCGCGGGTAGAGGGGCTAAATTGGGCCATTGGCCCCCGGCTGTCAACGTGTGTGGCCCGGGACGATCGTTGAAGCGGCAGCGCGGGAGGGGACAAAGCCCATGGTTTAACCTCGATCCCACTCAGCTTGGTGGGTTGCTTTCAAACTGTCCAAATCTACAATTCGAAATTTCATAATTGCGAAATTCAGAATGTCGAAAATCTTAATATCGAAATTTCATACTGTCGAAATTTCAGAATGTCGAAATTTAAATCAGCTAATTTTCCCCAAAAAAAACCCCGAAATATATATATGAATGATTTATTCAACCGTGTTCTAGGCAAAAATTCGGCATTCTGAATTTCGACGTTATGAAATTTACCTGTTAACAATAAATAGTATATTTTTATAATGTTTTTTTTTGGTAGTTTTTTTATTTTAGAAAGATACAAAAAATATTTTAAACATTTTTGAAAATACACTTTTGACCATTTTTTTGGGACGTTTTAATCTAATTTTGACACAGTCACGAATTTCCCAAAATAATCTAATCATAAGTATTTTAATAGTGTTTTAATCAAAATTTAACTAATTTAAGCGGAAAACTATCAAAAACTTTACAAAACGAAATTTTGGTAAAAATCGGCGATTGTTGTTCGAAAATTTTACATTTTCGTATTTTCGAAGCAAAATTTGTAACATTTGTACGTTTAAGTATAGCAAAAAAAAGTTTAGAAACACCTCTGCGATTTATATTGGCAAAATTGAGAAAGAAAACTAACTTTCGACAACTTTAAAAACGGAAATTCAGAAATCTGCGGTGCTGAAATCAGTCGACATATTTTAGATTGTAACATAGAATCAGTGTTAGATTTATTTATATAATGCGCATCAAATATAACACTATTCCGGCGATGACGCAGACAACGGTGGCCGTGGCCACGCCGCCGACGATGATCAGCGCGATGAAGAGGATACGGAGGCGCGAGACGGATAGGCGGACCGTCGAGGAGATCGCTCTGGAAGTGGCATTTAAAATTGCTAGTTAAATAAAAATAAAATCATTGCTTTTATGAATTTGCTACAATTTTTTCGAAATTTTAATGCGCTGAAAAAAATTTGCGAAATTGAGATCAATAATAGAAGCGAAAAGCACTGAGATTTCGATAAAATGAAATTTCGAGAAAGTGATATTTCCACAAATGAAATATCGACAAAACAATTTTCGACAAGTTAAAACACATAATTAAAATAGACAGAAATCTATTCTTTTTTTTTGTATTTTCGTAAAAAAGTTTTGACATTTAAAAGTGCAATAAAAGACTGTAAACCTCTCTCAAACCCCCCTGTATTTACACTTAACAACTGGTTCAAGCGGAAAAATTACCCCCCCGATAATGCGAAAGATCCAAAAATTTGGAATCCAATTTATATCCAAAATTTGCATAACCACATTCCGGATTCGCCGGCGTGGAGTGAGAATCTCATTTCTACCCGGCGACCGCTGCAAAATGTGGGCGCTGCTCGGGCTCGTGCTCCTCATCCCGCTGCTCGGATGCGCCAAGAAGAAGGTAGTCGTGCTCAGTGGCCTTTAAGATCACCGACTTTAGCCCCCGCCGCCGCCGAAGACGACCACCGTCAAGAAAGCGGTCGTTTTTGGGCAAAGTGAGAGGAGTTTCAACATTTTTAGAGCTCTAAAACGCCTTTTAAAGGAACTAGAAAGTCAAAATTAGCATATGAAAAATCCCAGCTGTCCCAGCACCTTTAAAAACCAACTTACAGGCAAAATGGCTCCTGCCCCGGCCCACCGCCCGAGAAGAAGGAGGAAGAGAAAAAGGAGGAGGAGAAAAAGGAGGAAGAGAAGAAAGAAGAGGAGAAGAAGGAGGAGAAAAAAGGAGGGAGGAGAAGAAAGAGGAGGAGAAGAAGGAGCCTGAGAAGAAGGAGGCTGAGAAGAAGGAGGGAGAAGAAGGCCGACGCCGAGCCCGAGAAGAAGGAGGAGGAGCAGAAGCCGCCCGAGGTCAGGCTCAATGGGGTTTTCGAGCAAGATCTATTCATGTTGTTCGATATTGAAGATCATTCAATTTTACTAAAGACACTATTAAGCCTAAGCCTAAGCTAAGCATAAGCCCAAGCCAACTAACCCTAGGCGTAAGCCTAGTCTAACGTATTTACTATTACATTCATCGTATTTTTTAAACCTATACAAAATAACTAATCCCCCCCCCCGCTAATGCAAAAGTACCGATTTCCAGGCACCTCCCAAAGACAACCCGAATATGGTGGAGAATCCGGTGGTGTCCTTCGTCACCGACAGTTTCCCCACGGATCCGGTATTTTATTTTGGGTTACGGTAGCAAAGGGCGCATCCTAGAATGCGGAAGCCGAGAAGGAGCAAAAGGAGGCCGAGGAGAAGGCCAAGGAGGAAGAGGAGAAGAAGAAGAAAGCCGCCGACAAGAAGGAGGGCGGCGACGACAGCAAGAAGGAAGAGAAAAAGGCAGAAGAGCCGCCAAAGAAGGAGGAAAAGGAACCCGACAAGAATTCAGAAAAGGTGCTCTGTCTCTCTCTCTCTCGCTCCCTCGCTCTCTCTCTCTCTCTCTCTCTCTACCGTCACGATCCCTTTAAACTATTGGGTTCTTGTGTATTATCGGTGGGGGCGGGGGGTTGGCGTCTCTATGTAAGTTTCGGTAAGAGTTTACTTTACCCCCCACAGCCGAAGGGTCCCACAAGTGTCGGTATTTTCGCTTATTTTTTCGGGATTTTCGCAACGCCATTCGATAGAGCGTCGAAAAATATACTAAGAGTTTTAATTTGAGCCTACAATAATGTAAAATAAAAAAGTTATAGCCAAAAACTTCCGGCTGGGGGGTAAAGTAAACCGTAGCCTAAGTTTCGGTACTGGACTATTAGCGGGGGGGGCGGGGGTGTAGCAGGGGAACCAAATTTTTCCTAGTAATCTTGCAAAGTCCTACAACAAAATATAGGCCATTTTTCTAGCATTTTAGACAGTTTTTTTTTAAGAGAAAAAGCTCATAAAAATATCACAAAAATTTCAAATCAAAATCGTCTAAAACAGTTCAGATAAAGGTCAAAATTTTCGAATTATACCAATAAAAAATTTTTATAATTTTCTAGCAATCAAACATTCGCAAAAACACCTAAAGTTAACCCTCCCCTCGCTAAGAGAGAAGCCCCGAAATCTTCCGCTTGAAGCCCGCCCCCCGCCCCCGATAATGCAAAAGCTCCACATTCGACCGAATTTCAGGGAAAGTCCCCGGGAGGAAAGTCGAAACGCGAGACGGCGTCCAGTAAGGAGAAGGACAAGAAGAAGGAGGAGAGCCAGCGGAAGAGCGCCAAGAAGTCCAAGGCTGAAGGAACATCCAAAAAGGGTAATTTAGCAAAAATTATGCGTTTCTTAACGTTCTTAACGTTGTCAATATGCCAGAAAGTTAGAAAAATATTTTTTGAAACATTTTGAAAGTTCGAAAATCTTCCCTTTTTGGTCATTTTTCTTAAATTTTTGAGCAAAAATTCCAAAATGTCGACTTTTCCAAATTTTTAAAAATAGTTGAAAGATCTAAAAAAATATGGAAAATGCTATAAAATAATTTATATTTCGTTATTAGAAGGCAGTAAGAATTACTGGGAAAATTAGCCCCCTCCCCGCTAACAGGCCAGTACCCTCTTTCAGAAGGCGACAAGCCGAAAAGCAAGAAAAAGCGTCAAGAAGTGAGCCAGCCGCCAAGCCAAGCCAAGCCAAATGAAGCCGCCCGCCCGCCCGCCCGCCAACCTGCTCTCCGATGTTAAAAGTTGCGAATACATTTTTGTGCACATAGTTTTGTGATTAAATGCGTGCCCCCGTTCTATTCCCGTTGTGTACTCGAATCTTCTCCTGCCCCCTCCCCCCTCCCCTCCCCCGAAAAAGCCGCCAAATGCACACACACACCACTCGAATAAATCGTTACCCCCTCAAAGGAGCTGCATTTAAATATTGGCAGTTATTAGTATATTTTAGTAAAATATAACCTGGATGTAATTATTAGCGGTATACAAAATCAGCTGAAAAATCCAGATTTTTACATTGTTTTATCAAAATTTGCAAAGTTCTGCAAGCTTCGGATCCAATTTTTATAAATATGAAAAGCGAAAATCTTTCGAAACTGTTTTTTACAATCCTGAAACGTCAAAACTTTATCAATTGTTATTCAAAAATTCAAAAAAGTGTAGATTTCTCAACCGAAAATGAACCCGAAGCTCGAAAATGACGGTTTTGGACAAAAAATTTCGAATTTTTAACGGTTTTTAGATAGCTTACTAACAGTCCGTTTTCGATTTCGTTACCGTATTCCTCTTCAAAGGATCTTAGAAGCCTTCCACTCACTTGGCTTTCCGGTTTCGCCACACCCCTTTTTGCCGGCCTTTCTCGACGGACACTTCTGAAGCGGTCGTCGTCTGCGCCTTTGTCTCCTGAAATTTCCGGAAAATCGATCCGACTAGCTGTTTGCTAAGCTAATGTCGATTGGCAGGGAGGAAATGGTTACTAGCAGAGATTATTTGAGACGGGACATGCTAGAAAATCTCCAATATCCTCGCGGAAGCGAATAGTCTCGGTAACCGGGTTCTTTCGCATTATCGGGGCGGGGGGCTTGTCTGAGGATTTACGAGAGGAGGGTAGCGTTACGAAATGGTTTCTTAATATTCCTAAGCGTGAAAACTTTGCAAAATCGTTAACATCGATTTTCAAAAAAGGTGAAAATGATAGATTTTTCGACCAAAATGGCCGAGTTTTGACGAAAATTTCGCCCATGTTTCAAACCTTTTGAGAATTTTTAGCGAGTTTTTCTAATTGATACATAATTATTTTTT